TCTTAGGTTACTACTGTCACCAGCTGGTGATGACTCTTGGATCTTTCTGTCCAACTGAAAAACGACCTGGTTTTGTATTACTCCATCAGGACTGTGTGTCAGGTTGATACAAAGTCAACAGATCATGCCAAATACCTCGTCCCAGTTACCACATTCTTCATCACTAAAAGCCAGGACGTCCTAGAGGCAGAGCATGAAAGCTTTGCACTCAGTAATCTTAGATCTTATTACTCTGCAAAACAGTGAATTTGATATCTGTCATAAACTCTTCACATTCTCAGAGTGTGCAACCAGTATTTGGCCAATTCTCCTCTGCCTTTTCTACAAAAGATTCAAATTCTCCACCTCAGTGCTTTAATCTCACCATCCCTCTAGTCTGTGTTAACCACTGCCCTATGTTTTAAGTATTTACCTATACTTCTGAAGTTAATTGCTGTTTTACTCTTAACCTTATAATTCCCTGAGTCACTAAGGAGACAGATGTTTTCACTCACCACCATTAACCTCATTCACCACAGGTTTGTTTTTCTGTCGTGGTGGTTTTTTGTTTGCCTGCCCTTTTTTTTTAAACACTCCCCTATGCCTTTTTTTCCTGTACACTTATTATCATTAGACTGGCAGCTCCTAACCACTGTTTGATGGCTTCATTGGGCAGAGGCCATTTTCTTGCTTTGTTTTATGCACAGTAAACTCAAGAACACCTGCAACAAAATATATGCAGAGGTGACCAACCACATAACTAGCACCACCAGAAAAATGATTGTGGTATACTCAGTAGTTCCAGTATAAACCTGGATGAACAGGTGATCCATGCTCCACATGTATCAGCAGGAATATGAGAAAACATGCTGTTACAACCTGTGTTTCTCTTCACTGACATCTGTCTCCAAAGCTTCTATCTTCACAGAATTTTAAGCTATTAGCAAAGTAAAGAGATCTTTCTCCACGCTGACTGTATCTAAGCCCTAGTAGATGCTAAAAAATACTTAACTGGGCCTAATGCACCTCACACAGAGACATTTGCAGGAGCCAAACGGTCTTTTCTTTTTAAGATATAAACAAAAGACATTCTGTAAAACAATGCAGATACTGAGTTTGATAAACTGCCTGTTTCCCTCTCCATTTCATCTGTTAATCACTTTGTTCTTCTACTGGAAAGTCATTACAGGTACAGAAACAGTAACAGCTCACAGGAATCAGAACGATTTCAAACCAACTATTATGCTGGGAATAAACCATTTTTCTTGCTGGCTTTCAACCACCTACCTTAACCGACCTGCCAGAAATGCAGACAAGTTCTGTCACTAGTGAGAAATGCAAAAAAAGTCACTTTATTCTGCAGCTTCAGCAACAATTTAAACCTTTTAATGATGCCAACTATGTCAAAAGACAGAGGACTGTCCCACAGCCGAATTAAAATGATAAGCTAGAACACTTTGGAGAACAAGGGGCATTTAATATTAATTACAGAGCACATGCCTGTGGAATCACATATTCCCTACTCAGGAAACTGAATCTGAGCTTCTGGCGCGCAGACCGAGCACGTACAACCGGGATAATCGCGCGGTAGCTCTGCTTTCTCTCTCTCGATCGTATCTCCTTTACTCACGTACCACCAGGCGAGACATAGCACTGCCTCAGCCTCTCTGAGGAATCATGGGCGCGCTTGGGAGCCGGGCCTGCGCTCGCCCCGCCGCATAGCTGCCGTCGAAGGGCGCTCCCCGCTCCAGTCCAAGCCCCAGGGGCAGAAGCCCCGCCCGGGAGCTGCGGCTCCTCCCCGCCCTGGTGGAGCCCCGGCCAAGAACGGCGCGGCACCTCCCCGCCGAGCGGGCTCCTCCGGGCGGGGGAGGAGACGGGGACGGCAGCGCCAGCTGGGACCAGCCCATCCCCGGTCTCCTGCGGATACCGAAACCCCCCCCCCCCCAATCCTCCCATAGCCCCCGTGACCCAGGGGACACCCCCTCCCAGAACTCCCACCTTCGACGACGCCACAGAGGAAGCGGCGGGAGCCCAGCGCTGTCTCCGTCTCGGTGTCGGTTTCCTCGCCCCCCGGGACGGGCCCCGCGGCGGCGCCCGGCGGCTCTAAGGAGGCGCCGGGCACCCCGGCCGGGTTGGGGCTGCCCTGCGGCTCCTCCAGCGCCGCCTGCCCCTCCTTCTGCACCATCCTGCCGCCCGCCGCCAGCGCCGCCGCTCGCCGGGCCGGGCCGAGCCGACCGGGTCCCGTCCGTACCGCTCCGCAGCCCCTTTGTCTGCGCCGCTCCGGGGCCGCCGCTTCCTGTTTACGGGGCGCTGCGCCTGCGCGGGGAACCGGCCCCAACCGGTCCGCGCCGCTTCGCCCGCAGCCGCCGCGCTCCGAGGGGCCGCCGCGAGGGCCCGGGGGAGCGCCCGACTCGGCGGGAAGGGAGGGAAAGGGCGCGAGCGGCCGGGACGGCGACGGCGGAGCGGGAACAACAGGCTGGAACGCAGGAGGCTCCTCAGAGAACGGGGCGGGCGTCGCACGTACTCTGCGCAGGCGCGGGAGGGCGCGCACCGCGCGTGCTCGGCGGGGCAGGCGGCGGGAGGGGCGAGGCCGCGGAGGCCCAAGGGCGCCTGCGCGGGGAGGCCGCGCGCGCCCGCGGCGCACGCGCGAGGGGCCGCGGGGACCGAAGAGGGAGGTGGTGGCGAGGGTGACGCGCGTGCGCATTGCGGTTTGTGTAGGGAAGCGGCGCCGAGTGGGGGAGGGAGGATGGGGAGTGGAGTGTTTACTTCGGTTTTGCGCATGCGTCTGGCGGCGCGCAGGCGGGTCCGCGCGTGCGCGGGGCCGAAGAGTGCGCGGGTTCCCGTGAGACGTGACCTACTTGCGGCGGTACCCCGCAAGCTAAGCAGGATCCGCCGGGGCTGTGGCGCGGATGGGAGACCGAGCTGCTGCCGAGGGGAGAGCCCCTACGGCCGCTCTTTCCCTCCTCCCACAGCACGGCCGATGTTTCGGTCGGAGGTGTTTCCATGCCTGGAAGAGGCTTACGAGGATGCTGAAAGATGGGATACAGAGCTGAGGTGGGTCTCAGTAAATCAGAGGATGGGTCTAACGTCAGATGGCATTTCTCCTGAGAGAACTTCCAGCTGCATTGGGAGCACTAGTCAGAGCCCCCAGGGCTGAGTAGATGAACTCCCATGTGGCTGTGGAGAGAGGCCAGCGAGGTCATCCTTCCAGCCCTGCCAGCACTGGGGAGCTGCAGCAGGTACCAGCCAACAAGGAACCAGTGAGCAAAGAGCTGCTGAACGACCGGGCTGGGGAGGAGGGGCTGGAGAAAGCCCGCACACATCACGGCAGACACATCACATTTCAACCACGTTGGAGCTTATCCCCGCTGATGACATTCTGGCGTGACAAGAAACCCAAGACAGCTGCATTTCCAGCTCCATCTGTACCTGCTCCGGAAGCTGCAGCAGAGCCCCTTGTGAGGGAGCATCTCTGGTTACCACAAGGTTCAAGCTAAAGCTTTAAAAGAGCAAAAATATAAACTGTACTGCTGCCCTAAATAGTAACTAGCTGAATTGTATTGATGCACAAGAATTTATAGAGGGATTAGAGAGGAGAAATACACAGAATTTGGGTGGAAAATAAACAGGACTTTCATACCACCCTATAGAGAGTCGGGCACTGACTGGACCCTGGAGCTGGCATTGTGCTCATAGCTTTGGTCATGCCAAACTAATCTTGCAGTAACAGTTCTCCCAGTGTTGGGATCTCATCCTTTTACAAAATGCCTGTGTTTCTAGGCAGTATTCAGGGTGCTGGAGTGAATCACTGTGCCGGGCTGCATCAGCTGCCTCATCCAGTTGCTCAGCTGTTTTCCCACATAGATGCTATTAATTTTTTCCTCTGAAAGCTGGAAAAAAGATGGCTGGAAACAACACAAGGCTGCCCTTTTCCAAGGCCTCATCAGCTCTTATCTCTGTTCTTATTATAAACCCACTGATTTTGCTGTTACCCTTAAATGCCACCTCCTCCTGACAAGGGACTTCCAAGCCCTGGCTCAGCCCTGGTCACCTCAGGTCCCTGGTCCCCTTTTCTGCCCTTCACCCTGGGAAGAGGGACCCAAGGGATCCCATCAGTGGCTCACGGCATTCCTGTGCCATAAGAGGGCACAGGATATCATTGCCCAAAATAGCAACCAGCCAAACAGAGCTCAGGGGATAGGATATACTGGGAAAAGTGGGTTAGAGGGGAAGATGTGCCCAGGCCCATTCATACTGCCATACACAGACCTGGGTGATGGCCAGCAGCTCAGAAAGATCCCTGGAGAGTGAGAGGCTTTAGAAAGAGCAGACTTGTCACTTTCCCAGTGCCACAGTGGTAATTCCCCCCATAGCCAGAGCCCATCCTTGGTCTCCAGGCAGCTCTTTGCATTGAGTTTCCAGTTTCTGGACCACAGACTGTATAAAGCTGGAGCATTTCGCTGTCCCGCATTAGGTCCATGACCTTATTGTTCTGCTGGTTTCTTTCTTCCATGTTTGTTTTTTCCTTGCTTTGCTTCATTTTTTTCCAGTTCTCAAGGCTGCACTTTTCCAACGACCAGTGATTGCCCATGAGTTCATGTCCCTAAGGTAAAGCCCTCCCCAGTCCATACCTACCTCTTCAAGGTGGGAGGTGACCATCTTCCTGTTAGCTCAGCCTTAAATGCCACATCCTAACAAGGACCACCTGGTCCCAAGCTCAGGTTCACCCAATAGCATCTCACATACCTGACAGCCCCACTCCTGGGACCTGACACACTTGATGTAAGAGCTTTTTAGCCTAAATGCCTACGGCCTCTTAGCAGGGGAAAGTCTGTATTTACAGGACCATCAATGGCATGGCCAGGCTCAGAACACACCTTGTCCCCTGTGCAACCTCTGCAGAAGCACCCTGCAGCCACAGCACCCCAAAAAGGCTGCCACCCTCTGCAGAGACTCTCAGTCCCGCATTTCCCCTTCACCCCCACCCCAGACAGCTGACAGATGCAGAAACATAACGGTGGTGTGCATAGCGACTGTGGTTAGATTTTATTGGTTTGTTTGTTTGTTTGTTTGGGGGTTTTTTACCCATATAATTGTTATAATACAAAATATACAGACTGGAGATGCCAAGCGGGTTGTGGGTCACCATGCCCCGGGGCAGGGGGTCACTCCATGCGACCTACAGCGTGAGGGAGAAGGCGGCATCTGCTCCGTGTGGGAGGGGGATTGTGGGCACCCCAGAGAGCCTGGGAGGAGGGAGAACAGGGAGAAAGGGACGCAAGGGGTAAGGTTTGGGATACCTGCCCTCCCACCCTTGAGAGAATGCAAGTGGGAGCTCAGCCCCACAACAAACCTGGGAACAGGTCTGCAAGATGAAGGGTGTGTTGAATGAACCTAAAAAACCACGTCATTTCTGCAAGGTGAATAATGTGTTGAATGAACCTAAAAAACACATCATATCTACAAGGGATGGGATAAGGATGGTCCCGCTGGGGAGTGGCCCCGTAGCTTTGGCTCAGAGCCCCAGGAGGGAATTCTAATGTCTCCAACACCAGGGGCTCAGCCTGGGTCTGGGGCCCAGCCTGACGTGGGTGCTGGCCCTGCACTCCTTCCCAGTTGATCCCAGACACTGCAGTTTAGGCCAGCCCAAATCACCCTTGGCTGCTAAGGATACAGATACTAGAGCCACAGTCAGGGACTGCCAAGGCTGGGTACATTCCCAATGCCTGTGGAGGGCCTCTGGCATTGGCATGGGATCATTAACACATGGGCATCACTCAGCTACAACTTGAAGTGGTATGTGGGTAGGACAGGCTTGCCTGCACACATCCAGCTCCAAGGAGCTGGTGGTGACAAGGATGTGGGGAGCACCAGGGTCCCCAAGCAGGCTCTCATCTGGCCATGCTGGGAGATGGGGATGAGCCCCTCCTGCCCCAAGGTGACCCTCCAGCCTGCCAGCAGCATGGCAATCTGGCTGTCCCCAGCCTCAGCTATCTCTCCCAGGAGCTGCCAGCTCAACCACGTCCCCAGCACAGGGCTATGCCTGTGGGGACACCTCTCTGTCCCATTGCTTATTCCCCAGCCCCTGGGCAGCAGGTGGGCCGGGATGAGCCTGGGCCTGGGAGCAGCGAACGATGCCAAGAGCATGGCTGTGAGCTCTAAGGGCCAGGACAGCCACCAGAGCCCAGCACATCTCCTTCTTTTATGTGTCCTCATACCCTGGCTTCCGTGTCCTCAGGAAGGGTTGGAAAGGGTACCTCTTGACTGGAGCCTCAAAGTGGTTCCCTGAGGTCCCTGTGTGCCAGCACCCTGAACTCAAGGGACAGGGGCTGAGGTTGCAGCCCTTTCAGTCTTGCATCCTTCATTCTGGGGGACCTGTGCCACAAGAAGTCACCTCGGGGTTCCTTTAGTCTCCCCTCTCCCCTTGTCAGGATGAGCCTCCTAGGTCTAACTTGAACCCTTGGGATCAGGGGATGCTCCCCACAGTTCATGCAGCAATGAGTCCCAGGTGTCCATGCGGCTGCCTTCTCCAGGCATGGTCCCTCCGCCCACCCACTGGCCCAATGTCTGGACAGGGAGGGTGGCTGGCACGCTGGACATGCTCCCCATGGCAGGACATGGCCAGGGCAGGGGAGGAAGCCAAGGCACTGGGGCCCTTTGCAAGACTTTAGTGATTTCTAGACAGCATCACTGGAGGGTTTGGCCTGGAGCCGGGACTGGGGGCTCCTGGGGCTGGGGAGGATCAGGATTAGGGGAGCTGCATGGGGTGGTGTGCATGGGGAAAACCCTCTATTGCAGCCCAAGGCTGCAGTTTCTGCACCAGGAATGGGTGCAGGGAGATCCATCCAGGTGGAGTGCTCATCCTGTGCCAGCCATGCCCATGCTCCGATGTCTGGGAGCACCTGCTTGGGATCCCCCGAGGAAAGTAGAGCCGGCTCAGGGGAAAGGGAAGATCTCAGCGCTGACTGCATCTCCGGAAAGGGAGGTCCCTTCCTGCGGGGGTGTCTGTGCAGCCAGTGGAGGGGAGGCTCGAAGGAAAAGTCGAGAGAGAGAAGCAGGTTCTGGGCCCAGTGTCAGGAGCGCTCAGCTGGAGGCAGGTCTGGGAGCTAAATCACACTGTCGAAGAGCTGCATGGACCGCATGATGTTCTCGTCCTGTCGGGAGCAGGTGGGAAGTGGGCAAGTTGGGCACAGAACAGGAATCTAAGCAGCTCCCCCAAACTTGGCTTTACCCTTATGGCAACTCTGGCACATGAGTCAAGCGCCCCAGGGATTACAGGCAGTTTTCAAGCCCTGCTGGGATGCATGGCTCTTGTCATCTGTACAGGGATGACAGCATGGGTACAGTTCCCAAAGCAGAGCTCCATCCTTGCCCCTGGGAGCCTTGGCGTCATCCCCTCTCTGCCAGGAGGGAAGTGTGGGGGACAAAGGTCTCCAACAGACAGGGTGGTGACCCAGCCCAGAGAAGAGCTGCTGGTGGCTTTACCTTCTGGCAGGATTCCAGGAACTCCTCAATTGTCACCACACCGTCCTTGTTCCGGTCCATTTTCTGCAGACAAGCATATCACAAAGGTAATAGCAGGGACAGCCCCAGCCCAGGGAGAGCCCAGTACCCCCTGCCCAGGGTGGACACAGCACACCTCTGTGGCAGCCGTCCCCAAGCACCCAACAGGACCAGCAGAGCTCTGCTTCATCCCCAGTGTAAGGTGTTTTCTGCTGCACCCACTTCAGTCACTGGCTCAGTGCTGGAGCTCTGCTTTCCCAGGATATGCTCAGCTCACCTGGAAGAAGTTCTCCACATGCTCCCGGGGCGCTTCCTCCCGCATGGCCGGGTAGGTATATTTGCCCATCATGTCGTAGATGGACTTCATGATGTCCAGCATTTCCTGATGGGAAGGGAAGCAGGATTGCAGGGTCAACACAGGGCTCTGTCTCCACCCAGTCCCCAACCCACATCTTTTTCATGATGCTTCCAAAAGACCTGTGGGGTGCTCAGATGTGTTTCTGCTGGTTCTGTGCACAGTGTGGGCCATGTGTGTGCCTGCATGTGTGATAGAGCCCCAAAGCGCACACTCTTCATCTACCCTCCATCCCAGAGACACACCAGTGCCAAGGAGCCAGGAGGGACATGTTTGCAAAGCTAAGCTCAGTTAAATACTGACCCTCTGAGCTCTCCTCCAGAGCTCAGCCAACACTCCCGAGTCCTGCCCTTGTCCCTGACAGGTGCAAACCTGTGCTGGTCCTGGGGACCTGTCTGGACCCCCCCCATCCCACCTCTTTGGTGATGCAGCCATCTTTGTTCAGGTCATAGAGGTTGAAGGCCCAGTTCAGGCGATCATCGATGGTGCCTCGCAGGATGGTGGACAGCCCAGACACAAAGTCCTGCAAGGATAGACAAGGCAAGCAAATGGGAGTTACAGCCACAAAGGGCCTCATAGGCACAAAGGCTGCTTGTCCCACCAGCAAAGGGGAACTCAGCCCTAAAGCAGATGTGGCCTCGGGCTGGGCTGAGAAGGGAAATATTGATATCAAATAGAGCCTGGGGAGAAACAATTGCTTAGCCCCATATATGTCCCACACTAGTCCCTTGAGTCACAGCACCCAAGAGGACAGTGTGCATCAGGACCTGCTCTTCAGCCAAAGCCCGAACAAGACCCAGCCATGGTTGTTTCTGCCAGTCTAGATATCATACAAGACACTAGCCAGAAAATACAGAAAGCCATTTTTTGTTGCTTTTCACTGTTTTTCTACTGCCTCTGGGAATTTAATAAACTCCACCAGCTCCTGCAAAGCTCTTCATCCATCTGCAACAGCAATGCTGCTGATCCCAGCCCTCAGTACCTGAAGAGATGCACTCTTCCTGCCCCACTGCCATCCCATCACCCCCTCCTTGGCCACAGCTCACCTCAAAGCTGACAGACCCATCATGGTCGGTGTCAAAGGCATTGAAGAGGAAGCTGGCGTACGTGCTGGAGTCTGCAGGGAGAAGGACAGTATGAGGGGTTGTTGTGTGACCCCCTGCCTCACAGAGGCACCCATGCAGGGCATGGGGACGGGGATGGGCACTCACCTCCCTGAGGGAAGAACTGTGAATAGATCTGCTTGAAGTTTTCTTCGTTGACAATGCCGCTCGGGCACTCCTGCCAGGGCCAAGCCACAGCGTCACTTCCACATTGCAGGAGGGGGTGAGCACCCTCCTAAATCCCTATGACTCCCTTGTTTTGCCTTGCTCCCTGCCCTGCACACCTGGTGGGGTGGCTGGTAAGGCTGCTTGGAGCATCTCCCTGTGGGCTGCACCCCTTGCTGGAGGGGCTCTGCATCCCAGGCACCCAGGAAGGGGGCTCTCTGCATCCAAGGAAATGGAGCACAGGATCAGGTCTCCCCACTGAGCTCCCTGGAGGCAGAATTAGGCTGTAGCCTTATAATCGACCTCAAGGTCCCAACAGCCTTCAGAAACACTGGGCACTGCCAGGTGCAAAACAACGCTGAGGTGGACATGGCAGCAGAGGTGGGGCTATCAAAGCTGGTCAAGGGGTACTCACATTTTTGAAGCCTCGGTACAGGACCTGCAGCTCTTTTCGGGTGAACTTGGTCTGCTCCTGAAGCTGATCCAGCCCCTCGGGGCGGTGGCAGACGGTGGAGAGCTCAAACTCATCCTCAACACTGTCTGCAAGGAACCCAGGGGAAGAGAGGGCAGCTGAGGCCAGCACTGTCCTACTCTACCCTGTCATGCCAGGGGGCAGGAGGGCACATCCCGTGCTCTCACACCTGCCGAGGGTGACATATTTTTGGGGTGGTCTGCTCAGCCAGAGTTATGTCTATGCCAGCAGAGGACACTCAGAGAGACTCTAGGGGCAGACCAGGGATGGACACTGGGCAACAGCCCCCCCAGCCTCCAGTACAGCCCAGGCTGAGCAGAAAGGGGGTGTGAAACCCCTCCAGTGCTGAAACCCTCCCTGCCTGCCCTTGTCCTCCCACCAGCACAAGTGTCTGCCCTGTGGAGCTGAGGCCCTTGATGTCCTGCAGGTCTGTGCTGCACCAGGGTTCATGTCCAGCAGGAGAGTTGCCCCTCCAGAACTCCCAGCCCCAAATGTCCCCCAGCCTTTCTAGATTCCATCCTGCCCACTGCGCCCCCACCTTCATCAATGGCTTCTCCCCACCCATCTGCCAAGCTGCAAAACCCCTACCTGCAGCAGCCAGCACCCCCAGACCCCACTTCAGCCAAGAAGGGATGTGGTCCCATAGCAGGTACCCCCTCTCCGTGGGATGGTTCAGCCCCTGCCCTTCCATACTCACCTTTTCCCAAGGGCGATTGGCTCGCACCGGTGGGCAGAAAGAGACCCTGGGCAGGGGCTTGGACTCACCGAGGAGCCAAGCACACCCAGTGCAGGGCGTTAAGTGGCTCTGCGCTCACTCCCTGCTCAGCCTTTTTCATCCCCCCATCACACCTCCATCTCCAAACCGACACTGAACTTTGAGCAACAACCCCCCACCCCTTAAACCAGCGCCAGGAGGGTCAGGCTGCCCTGAGCCGGCTCCCAAGCGGGTCTTGCCGCTGGGAGCTGCTCCGGGGAGCTGGAGAGGAAGAAAACCAGCCCGTCGGCAGGTGAGGACAGAGGCTGGTGCAGAGCCCACGGGATCGGACCCCTTCAAGGCAGGATTGATCCTGATAGCCCCAAACCCACAGCAGGGGAGAGGCGGAGGCGTCCCCTTCCCGCAGGCAGGGCCAGGGCGGAGAGCAGGCAGCAGCACCGCCGGGGACACACACACACAAAGGCAAGAAGAAGCACTTGCTTTCGCTGAGCGAGGGGATGGATTTGGGCCGGCAGCAGGGCAGCAGTTTGAGGAATCGCTGCTTCAGCGCTTTTTTAGTTTGGACTGGCGGATTGCCTGGAAGAAAGAAGGAGTCACCAAGCAGAAGAAGAGTTAACAGAGCATCGGCCCCGGTCCCGGCGGGCAGCAGGGTTGGGCACCCGGCGCGGGGTGAGCGGGGCCGGAGGCAGCACATGCAGCGTGAGGCTGGAGGAGCAGGAAGGCAAAGCCCAGCCGAGGCTCTGCTCAGCCTTCCTGCTTCATCCCAGGACAAACCCGGCACGCAAATTTCCCTCCTTGGGAAGGATGTGGGTGGCAAAGGGGCAACCCTGCTGAGCTACCCACACTCAGCACCTCTGCACCCACTCATCGGAGCATGTCAGGGAGCACTGGAGACAATCAGGCACCCAGAAAACCAGGAGATGGCAGAGCTGGACTCTGCCCTTTAGCCTTGAGGACAAATATCTGCTCCCTGGGGACCCTCCCCATAGGGCTGTGCAGGGAGACAGGGTAGGATGAAGGCCAAGAAATAGCCTTTGGCTGAGCCAGGGCATTGCATCCTCCCCTAGCTCAGGCTGGGTTTGATCCTGTTGGCACCTGAAGGCTGAAGGCAAAGCGTGCACTGAATCCCGCCATGCAGTCCAGACTGCAGCATGCACCCCCACCCCAGCACAACACTGGGACCCGAGTCCAGGGACCTGCTTGAGACAGCCAGAAGGGGAACAAGGCTCAGGGCTTTGCCTTGGCCAGGCTATGGGCAGGGTGAGGGGCTCCTCACACCAGCCTGGCCCATGGCCATCACATTCAAGTGGCCCTGCATAAACAGTAGGTCCCCTCACTGCACTGACCCACCTGACACACCCTATTCCCCCATTTGGACCCCAATGACTTTGCTAAGCCCTATCTCTCCCACTTGGTATTCCCTCATGGCTGCAGACCCACTCCCTCCCTTCCCGCAGTGCCTCAAGCCAGCAAACTCAGCACAGGACTAATGCTGCAGGTGGGGAAGGGAGGAAGAGGAGGGGATGAAGGCCATGCTGGGCTCCAGCCCCCAAAGGGAGGCAAACAGCAGCATGGAGCACAAATGATACGAAAGGTGCAAAGTCCCTTTGGGGCTCTGGTGAAACTGCGTTTGGTCCAAGCATCCTGGACATCTGCAAGCAGCAGGTCACAATGCCTGTGCATCCCAAACCCTGGTTGTGGAGTTGTTTCTTTAGGGGGCCAGCAGATGGGGCTTCTCTAGCAGCTTTCTTAGCCTTGGGGGGCTAAGACGAGACCCAGATGACAGAGAAATGGTGTTACATGGTACCCAGCACGAGGATAGGGATGTGGGTCTGCATCCAGCACCTACAGGTAGGCTTCTGAGTGCCCACAGGCAGGACCTGGGACCCTTTGAGATTACACCAGTGCAGCAGGCTGGGATAGGGAGATCCATCATTCTGGGGGATGGAGAACAGCTCCAGGAGGTCATTGTCCTAGCAGGACATCACACAAAGCCACTCAGACAGTGAAAACTCTCCCCAAGGAAGTGGCATCCACAGCAGGTGCCAGGGATGTGCAAACACATAGGAATGAACAAATGCACCCCCTGGCATTCATCAGGGGGTGACAGGCAAGAGTGGGGACCAGGATCGTGGCACTGGCATAAAAGCACAACCTGGCTCCTGTCTGCCCCAGGGTTTGCAGGCAGGAGAGGAAAGAGGATTTTTCCTTCCTAGAAGTGGACATCAGCTATACATAAACCATGATTTTGTCCCAGATATGTTTCCAGGGCCTTATTTTGCAGAGAGAAAGGGAAATTGCACCTTTCAGCTTTCCAAGGATGCTTTGCTGCCAGGTCCCTCCAACAGAGTGGAGCTCTGGGAACAGACCTGGTAGGCAGGAATGTCCTCTTTGCCCAGGAGGAGAAGGAGAAGGGACAGGATGGGCAGAGCAACACCCAATATTGGATCATGGACTGGGGAGGGAGCAGGGCAGGAGGGAAACCACACAGCGAGAGAGATGCAACAGAGAGTAAACTGTGGTTGGACTCACAGGGGCAGCAGGTATAGGCACGTGCAGTAGGTCAGGTCGGGTGCAAGTTACACTTTAGTTTGTTATAAAGAAGGAAAAAGAAAAAAATAAAGAACATGGGCATTTGCTTAATAAGGAAACCAAAGGGGACCCAATTCCTGGGTCCCCAGGACAGGGGAGGGAACATGTTCAGCACATGCAGCTTAAAAATAGGAGAGGGGTGACCCGGGCTGGGGCTTTGCTGTCCTGGCTTTGGTGTATCCAAGGGCTCTGCTGGGTAGGACACACCACCCCCTTTCTGTCCCCAGCATCCAAATCACAAGCAAATCTGGCGGTTCCCCCTTGCTGGGAAACAGCTCTACCCAAAGACCAGGAGTGGAGCGCAACCATGAGCTGCCACTGGTCACAAGGGACATCTGCAGCACCAAGTCCTGTTCGTTTCAGGAACAGCTCCTTTTCCAGATACCGCTCTGCTCTCCACCCTTCTGCAAGGACCATCCAGCAGCTGGCACAGAACACACCAACAGAAAGGGCTGGCAGTGTTTTATCTGCGGTGGGAGGTCTGCCGGGTTAAGTGGCTTGTCACTTCCCATGCATCACTCCACAGCCTGGCAACTTCAAAATACACACACAAACTGAGCCTCCATCCTTGGGCAGCACAAGAAGGGGAAGGAATTTCCCATTCCCACCTCCACATGCTGTTGAAATGAATCTCAGAGGCTGCTGCACACTGGCTCTGAAGTAACCTATAACAGTGGATCCCTGGTCCCAGCAGTGATCACCAGCAGGACAGCCATGGACCACTTTGTACTCAGCCACCAACAGCTGATGTGTCCTTGGGGGCTGGATCCAGCCAATGCCACCATGCTGGGGGGGTTACAGAGTGCTGTACATGGCTGACGCCCCTTTCCCAGAGAGAACTCGAGCTTGGGCTGCTCCATAGTCTCTCCAGATGAAAAGTAGGAGCCAGGGTCAGCCTGATGCATAATGATGTCCCTGTCCTCCCCAGAGCCACAGCTACCAGTGCCCTCCGAGGGACAGCTGGCTGAGAAGACTAACAGCAGATCCCTTCCACAGCATCCTCCTGCTAGAAAAGACCCTACAATAACAAACCAACAGGCAGTGCCAAAACTCCCCCATCACTCTCAGTAACCTGTCAATAAACGCATCACCATGATGGGTGGAAAACGTGCAACCCACAGCACCAAGACCCCCTGCAGTGTCCCCAGCTCAGCTCCCAGGCATGCACCATTCCAGGAGGGGAGCAGAGCACCAGCAGCCTACCAGTCATGTAGCTCTCACAAACCCTGCTTGGCTCCATGGGGCAACACTAGGTCAGTCAGCAGATCAGGAGGAGCTGGTACCCCAAGGCTGATCTGTCACAGCACTCTGCCCTAGGAGCAGTGCTGGGGTGGCACAAGGCTGCTGGGCGAGAGGACCCTCTGCCTTTTCAGACAGCCTGGCAGCATAGGGAAGAGGTCAACAGTTCCCAGAATACATTCCTTTCTGTAAAAGAGCCTCTATCCCCTTCCAGAGCATCACCTTCTCCTTGGAGGCCAGAGGCAAGTCCCCAGGCTCCCCCTGCCAGGCCATGGCACTGGGTCCATCTGGGCAGCAATGCTGAACATAGCTGCCCCTAAAATCTGTGGCTGATGATCATCCCTGTGCAAGGCTCAGCTCCAAGCAGGATACCTCAGCTCCCAGTTCTGCCCACCCCTGGCAGCGCCCAGACTCTGTCAGTGCCACCAACCACAGCTCTCTGGGGTCTGCAATGAAGGCTGGCAGAAGAAAGAGAGAGTGAGTTCCCCCAGCCACCCTGGGGGATGTCAGGATGGGTCCCACCAGCAGCAGCTCTGCAAATGACCCTCATCAGTCAACAATGACAGAGCCAAGTGTAACCAAGGTGCCTTGCAGCAGCCACTGTGGCTGACATCAGCGGAATGACATCAGAGCTGGTGGGGGCCAGAGAGAGGGTCCCTGTCTGGGGGTGGGACAGGGGCAGCCTCAGCCTGGACACCTAGAGCTGGGAGAAGTAAAGCTGCCAAGTTAAGCCTATGGTTCGTGGGACAGCAGAGGCTCAGGGGCAGATATTCCCCAGTGCCAGAGGGAGGAGCAGCTGCACGACCCTTGTGCTGAGCAGATCCCGAAAGGAGAAGATAGGGCCGTGGGCCAGAAGGGGCTGCAGAGCAGAGCAGGGCTTACAGCAGCGCTGTCCCCATTCCCACCCCCAGCCCATGACAGTGCTCCCAGACAGCCTGGATGTACCCAAAGGAGATGTTGGCAGAATAATAATTTCTTCAGCCCACACCATCTACAAAATTTTATACAGGGAATGGGTCAGGATAGAGGTGCCAAGGGACTGTGAAGCACAGGCATTCTCCAAATGGAGCAGGTAAGGCTGCAGGACTGGAACATCACCCTCCTGCAAAACCCACACACAGGGACACATCCTGCCCCCATCCCATCACAGGAACCTCTCTAGCAGCAGGAATCGGCGGCACATCCAGGGTGCCAGAGGAGCTACCCAAAAAAATGCCCCAGCAGAGCAGTAGCTCCTCTTGGCTGCAAACACCATATTTCATAAGAGAACTGGTGCTCTGCATACCCATTATACAGATGCCATCCATACCTTCCCCAGTAAGGCACAGGGACAAAACCTGGACATGCCCAGCCACAGCCCAGCCAGATCCCAGGTAGCTCAAGGACATCCTCCATGACAAGGGGGTTGAAAGCACCTCATGGGCAAAGTGCCTTCCTCTCCTCCTGTCCCTCTGCTCAGCCTCTGATCACTCCTATCCACGCATCCTCCTATCACATCTCCTATCCAAGATCTGGCTACCCAAGGGGATAGGATTTGTAGTCCATTCACCTCACAGCATCCCCAGCGCCAGCAAGGAGGTAGAGGGGATGGAGGCAAAGAAACACCAAATCACACTCACACAAAGTCTGTTTGCAGCCCTTGTCTGAGCCTGGATTGTCTGCGGCGCAGCTGAGGAAGGCAGCCAAAGGAAACAAGGCAGCAGCACCATGTAGCTCCCTGCGCTCCCACCCTCACCCAGCACAAC